CAAAGGTCCTTGGGTCTTGATATTTGGCAAGTAGGTTGCTCATGTAAATGAAGTGAAGTTTTGTGAATGCTGATGACATTGACCTTCGTTCAAGGTCACAAAAATCAAATTTGTTAAAATAAAATGTTTGTATGGGGAGTCAGACAAGGCTATCTTTCTTTGCTTTATTTGTTTAGAGTGAACGATATAAACTAATGTTATATTCCTTTATATTTTGTTTTATGAATGGGCAATAGGCAAAACAAAAAAATAACTAGAATTGTAAGCCAAAGGTTAACTAATACCATTCGCTCCTATATAAACTAGAACTGTAAGATGAAGGATAACAAAGGCAAAGCATTGCAAAGCAATCCATAGTCTCCCATCAGTAATCATTGAAGTATATAGCTAGGTCACTGACATACTTCCTGTACTCCCTCCCTATGCCGAAACATTTTTGTAAACCAAATCTTGTCAGCCCAGATGAACCGGTTTCGCTGAAATCGTCCTAGTAGTTAAGAATCATCGTCCCAGGCACTGTCGTCTTTCAGTGTTAGAGTCACCTGTCCCTGATTACCATTTCGACAATGTTTTTATCTTCCCTTGAATATATTTCGTTTGAATAAGGTTTCGACTACAGAGTTGTGTCCATTGCGTCGAAAATCTCCAATCGCGAAATCGTGGGCAAAACACCTGTCGTAACGATGTAAACAACGTTGTGACAGTCATGGCCGACATGCAAGCCCGACGTAAAAACGGCTGTTTTAAATGTAAACTTAACACATTAACTGACAACTATAAAAACAACGATGTCCAATATCAACTGCTACACCACGACTATGCGACTGAACAAAGTGACACTCGTTCACACATTGAGGAGATGCTGACTATTGAGGCCCCTACTACTGACAAGTTGACTGATGAGCCGGATCCGACGTCCGATGAGGATCCCTCCAGTACTACTGATCACGAATACGCCAATTACTTTTTAACCTGGTCGCAGAGTGGTTGAAATCGCGGTGTTATCTGAATACCTGGACCAGAAAGGTTGTAAGGAATGCGTTACTAGGCTACGGTTGTGCAATACCCAATAGGAAAGACATTTTGGCCTGGGAAGTATTTTATACATACAAATAGGTGTATCACACGACATCACAATAATCAGGTTTATATTTTATATTTGTTATTATATGCCCAATAGGCCTATATTTCCAGTTCTTTTTTTTATATTACATACAACAGTGTTATTTTTACAATGTGATATTTTTATACCACAATATCGTATGTTGTTATTTGTACATAATGTAAAAGTTTATTGTTGTTGTATAGTGTGATTTTTTTATATCACAACATAGTATGTTATTTGTACAGTATGTAGAAAATTATTTATTGTTGTGTAAAGTATGTGAAACTTTGTTATTGTTGTTCATTGTGACATTTTTGCTATGACACAGTAAAATACATTGTTTGTTATAATGTTATTCATACACGACGGCAATTTGTTTTATATTGGTTATTACATTTGAAGTAATTTTATTGGTTGGTAATGCCTACTGTATTATATTTGTTATTTTATTTTGTATATAAAAAATGCTTTCTCTCTTGTCTCTCTTTTTTGTTTAGTTTTTTTGTATCTTTATATCTAACAAGTCAGTCAGCAAGATATTGATTTTTGTCACCTATATTTTCCTTTCGTTGTCCTAAACGTGTCGCATTGGCACTCGGAATTTTATTGATTCATGTTATGGGCATTTTTGTTTGTTTTAGTATTATTGTTAGAAACTTACTCAGTGTTTTGTGTTTTATTCATCAAAATTGACATTGTTATTATTTTGTATACGTTATATTTCTAATAAACCATTCTTGCATCAAATAATATGTATTTTGTTCCATTTTGTTCAATTGGTGTTTTTTTTAAATCGAAATTTCATATATAATTTCCCAAAATATCTGAAGAAAATCCAGCAAGGTATGGGTTATTGTTCAGAAATGATTTACTTATGCAATAGCGTTGCCGTAGAGAAAAAAAAAACAATGCCTCATATCATTTTTAGGCGGAGGTCCTTAATGAAGAGTTGTCAGGACAAAGAATTTTAGCAAAGGGCCATAACTCCTTAAAAATGGTTGCATTGAAAAAAAGATACTTCCCTTGTGCACGACATCAATGGGTAATTACCATATCTGTAAACTTTCATTGAAATCGGCCCCGTAGATTGTGAGGCTCACAAAGTTGTTTTTTTTTTACTTGGATGCACCATGTCAGGGGGCAGCTACTATACTTTTTAACTTCCGCTGAAATTGGCGCCATAGTTTTGGAGGAGTTGTCTTGATAAGGATTTTTCAACAAAGGTCCATAACTTTATAAAACTAAGATCAGAATGAAACAAATAATACCTGGAAGCACAACTTCAGGTGGAAGGTATCATATCTGGAAACTTGCGTAAAAATTGGTCCATTACTTTAGGAAGAGTTGTCCAGACAAAATTTTCTACCGACAGACAGACGGACAGACAGGCTGATGCCAGTAGCTTTTATACATGCGTAATATAACAAAGTGTTTTGGTATAATACAAAAACAGGAAATGTATCGGTATTTACCATAATAAACATTGATAATCAAATTTCCATGATTATGTGAAATTGGCCTTTGATCATGTTTGGCATGCTAAATAAGTACTTTACCGGTTTCGATATTACATAAAAATGGAAAGTATTATAAGAAGTTAAAAATATAGACTACCATTGTAGCTATATAATAGACAAGTTGACAATGTTGGTTATATTTTAAATTTTGTGAAAATTTTGCATGTTTTTCTAATTAAAAGTATCACTACGCTTACTTCATGAATACTAATATGACATATTTAGTATCAAAATAACAGTAATTTTATACACTGTACACAATCATTTTTCATTTTCAAAATATCATCCCCCTGTGACATTTATCTGTGATTTTGTTAGGATACCCCCACCACTCAACCTGGTGTTATGCAAGGAGGTCCGCTACGGTTATCAGTAGTAATTATGAATAATCATTTATGCAGTTATTGATATTTTTTATGTATCTACATATGGCAAAAGAATAAAAATGTTGACCCCACCTTTCATTTTGTTCTTTGTTACAAGTTCTGTGATTGGCTAATAGTATACACAATTTCAAAGAGAAAAGAACACCTTGGAAGTACTGTATGCATCGTTTTTATAGACTGGTTTTTATAGACTGTATCTCATAGTCACCATTGTTTTCCTACCATAACTAAATTTAGTCCCATCCACTTTTTTTAGGTTCTGCATAAAACTTGTGTGTCCTAACTGGACACACGTTCACCTCCTCTGAGCTTGCTTGGCCCTTCTCGTCGACGTTTCCGGCATTCCGTTCTGTTAAATAAATTTGAAGTGAATTCACTGCATTCGTTATAACATCTTTTGTATTTAAACTACGTTTAGCGTACAAAATCTGCTGTAACTCCTGTTTCCAACAACACGGCCTTCATCGGTGGCCATTATCACTGTTGTCATTTGGTTCTGAAAATGTGACGTCACGAGCGTCATGGAGAAGGCCCCGCCTACCAATGTTTTCATTGGTTGAAATCTTATATGCTCCGCCTACAAATTTTCATGAGGGAGTAGTCCTTTTTTTGCAGGGAGTAGTCCTAATTTGGGGAGGGAGAAGCTCTCAGATTTAAGTGATTTAAGGGAAATAGCAGATTTTATCGTATTATTTTTATAAAGGGAAAACTCAGTAGGGGTATAATAATAGCATATATCACCCAGAAATAGCTGTTAATATTAGTATAAACGGCTGCTTTTCCAAAGGACTACTTTTAAAATTTTCTAAATCTCCATTTTTCAGTATTGTCGTTCGCTACGGCCGCTCATTTTGTGTTTTTATTGTTTTCCCCGGTCATACTTGCATGAAGACTGTAAAATCCAGATTCAATCCCTATATGCAATTTTGGAAAAAGGAATTAATCGCATTGAAGAAAATGCCAAAAATGTCCGTGTGTACGTGTTTATGATATGATCGGTCAAGGACACCAATTTAACATAATACGTGATTTTAGGTGATTTATTGGGGTTTTGGCCATATGTAGAACAATGTCATACATTATCTCCCAAGTGTGTTATCAGATATGTATAAATGTTTGCAGAATTGATCAAAATAGTATACTCTTATTTTATAAGCGATTTAGTAACCCATACCACTTATTTTTAATAATAAAATGTTGGAAAGGAAGGGTGCCAATTTGGGCTTTCTCGTAGCCATCACCGATAAGTTTCATTTTTCGTCCGTCGTGCGGCGTCCGTCCCTCAACTTTTTCATTTGAACAACTTCTTCTGAAGAACTGGAGGATCTAGGGTCATGATATTTGGCCAGTAGGTACCCTGGATGCAGTGCTATAAAGTTTCCTCATTAAAATGACCTCGGCTTACTTTCAATTGAACAGGGGTCAAATATGTTAAAAACTTTCAACAACAATATAATATCCTACGAACCATTTGGATTAGAGTCATGCTACATGAGTATGCTTTGTAGACCAGCAGTGCAAATCTATTTCTTTATTACAGTAATGAGGTCAAAGATCAACCTAAAGTGCTAGTCGGGGTCAAACGACAACATGTGTTAAAAGCTTTAACAATCTTCTTCTCAAGTTCCATGAGGCCCAGGGTCATGATATTTGGCCAGTAGGTACCTGGGATAGAATACTATACAGTTTTCGCATGAACATGACCTTGACCTACTTTCAAGGTCACAGGGGTAAAAAATGTTAAAAACCTCAAACAATAATATCCTAAGAAACATTTGATCTAGAGTCATGATATTTGGGTATGTTATGTAGACCAGCTGTGAAACGTTTCCTTTATTACAATAATGAGGTCAAATGTCAACTTTAAGTGCTAACTGGAGTCGAAGGTCAACGTGGGTTAAAAGCTTTTAAATTAAAATTTCAAATTTCAAACAACAATATCTTAAGAAGCGTTTAAGAGATGTTAAAATGTCTTGTGTTCTAGTTACCAAATTTGGTCTGAAGTTACCTACATGTATATGTCAGTTTCATGTAATAAAGGAACAAGGTATTCAGTGAAATTATATAGATATACATTGTATCACTTATCACGCAAAGAAACAAAAAAGAGACTATCGAAGTGTCAATAGAACCACTTTTGAAAAATAATTAAAATCCATAAAAGTAGGGCAATATATGAACGAAGGAAAGATTTACATAGAGACCCATTAAAACGTACAAAGAGAACAAGACCTTGTGGATTTGATGGGTAAGTGAGCAGGTTGTCACTGCATTCAATGGATGCTAAACTGAATATAGATGGAATGCTTCTCCGTAGGTGCATCAATTCTGTTTAACTATGAGTGTATACATCCTCTTCTAACAGAAAATGCAAGTGGTTTTTTTAAAATATATTTGCCAAAATACTTTCGAATATAATGCTGTTACTTGTTTAATTTTTATCATAAATAAATCTTTAATATGGAAAAGGCACTGCCTATAAGAAAGCTCAAACAGTTCAGTAACTTTTGTGATGGTAGTGTAGATCTCGTGCTTCAATGACGACACCTGCAATGTAAATCTATACCGAATCTAAATAATGTCATGTCCTCATAGCGAGAACCAGGACAGTGACAGCAACACAACAAATTTTACCAACGAACATAAGGAAAAAAAGACCTCCAGATCAAACAAAGGTCGCTTGTGTTACTCCTAATTTACTGGCAGGGACCTTGTTTAGTGAAGTTGATGAATAATTACTATTTTAATCTTTAGTTGGCGTGTCCTTAAGTAAATGAGTCTATTCCATGATAAATAAAAGTTAGGTTTATCCATTACATAAAGTACATCAATTAATAAGATTTGTCAGTAAGTATTCATTGATATAACGAGCTGTACACATTCAACTGCATATAAGCAATATACAATATGCGTATTGTTCATTAATTGATTATGACAACAGCTTTTTAATGAAATTAATACGAAGCGGCAAGTGACAAATGTTAACAAGCGCCAAAAAAAGAGCCTTATTTTAATAAACAAAGGGTCTGATTCTTGTCCGAGTTTTCTTTCACAGACAGTTTAATATCCGCTCCAAAACATTGTTATCTGTTTGAGAGCATACACAGAGGTTGCGGGTAACAGGTGATGTGTATATATGTTACCCTGACAGGACTTCGTAACTGATTCACTATGTCTGCCTGCCAGGTAAGGAGGGTTACAATGTTGTCATGCCAGACAGAATCACATGTCCACACGCTACCAACGCTAGCTGGGCAGATGAAACTAATAGCACATGGAGCCTTCCATTCCGTCAGAAACTTGCTGTCCGTTTGTGACAAAAGATTGTCTGAAGTGCCGGACTGCTCTGGGTCATGTCGTCTTGTGACTCCTGTTTATGTAACAGTTCGTGCTGATTCACTGATACATGCCACTGGTCAGGACCAGCAGATCCTGAATGGTCTGAGTCACCTCTTGACTGTTCAGATGGGGTTAGGGCCACTGTACCGAGTGCTTGTCTCAAGAATCGCTCTGGATTTATCTGAGGATAAAATTTCGCGTTACCGAGAATTGGCTTTGTAGGTAATGTAACGAGGGATTTGAGTCCTTTGACAAAGTCAAACACTTGGATATCTGTGCCAACTCGAAGGGATTTCTTACACTGTTTCCGCTGATTTTTCAATTGTTGAAGCTTTTTCCCAAGTTGTGTCTGGTAATTTATCAGAACTTTTGAATTTTCCTCTTCCAAGTGTTTCAACTGAGAAATAGTTTGAGCCATTAAAACATCAAGTTCCTTCTTTATTTCTTCGCCTTGTTTTCGTACTTCTACTTCTAAACCTTCAAAACGACTCAAGTTTCGTTTCAGAGTTTCTCGTGTAGTACTGATTTCTTGTTGTATTTGAGCTACTTTAGTTTGTTCGGTTGTATTGATAAAGGTTTTGATCCATTGCCTGTTTTTTCGAGTAACTTCACTCAGCTGAACAAAAATATGGCCCCTGTGAGTTGTGGAAATACATTTGGCACATATTGCGTCTCTACACGTTTCACAAAACCAGTCCAAGGTTACCCGTCTGTGGATCACACATGTAGACTGGCCAAAATGACGAACAACAAGTTGTTCCGCCATTTCATCTGTTCATCGTATTGAAAGCTTTCTTGGTAATTTTGATAATATGAAAATTATTTCAGATAGACTATGTTCTTCCTACGACGGTCTTTACAGTTGGGTTTTGGTCATCACGATACTGTGTTGTCAGTCCGGTTAATAACTGTGACGTCAGAATTGATTCTGCAATATAACAATAAAAATAGAAGTATTGATAGATTGTGAATATGATATTTAAAAAAAAACGCGAGAAATAGTAACTGAGAGATCCAAAGGGCAAGATGACATTGATCATGATATCTTGAATTTTCCCATATGACCACTATTTAATCATCAAAATCACTAGCGCCTAGCACGAGTGGATATTTTTCATAACTCTGCAGCTGACTACATATAAAGTCGTTGGAGATATTACTCTTCCGGAACACTTGGTCTTATTGACATTTGCATTTTTCTTAGGTCTCCACGTAAAGCTTTCTGTTGATTATATTGTGTTTTAATATTATTGATTTTGATTTCGAATCATGTTTTTGTTAACGCTTCCCTATATTTTTATCCTAATGCAGTTCTATTGTCTGGAGGTCAAAGGCCAATGTCACCATCTTGCTTATTAAATATTGATGATATGTAATTGTAACTTAATATGTTAAGAATGTCTTCTTTATCTGCCATAAACCGTGCTGAACGTATATTTTTTGAATGTTGATGTTTTCTAAAAAGAAATTTCAAGTTTCTCTCTGCTCTTCCCAACCCCATATATTCAAAGCTAACCCCAACTGAGTCATTCGTCGATAGAAGCGTATCATCCCAGTTTCATGTACTTCCATGATTATTAGTAATGGACATCCCCAAGCTGAGATCTGAGAGGTCAAGTCATTAGTATTCATGTTACCTTTGACACATATACTTAAAAGTCAATAAAAATATACACCCTTAAAACATCATGATTACAAATAATTTTGATATAATCTATTGGTAAATAAAGGATAGAAATAAAAACTGATATAGGGTCTGGTCAAAACACCTGGATATATTACCATTTGAATTGTTAGGGCATGATGATGATACAATGACGACAAGGGATCGATGTATCTTTAACCTACCTATGTGATTAGATTTAACTCTTTAATGTTGTAATTGTGTGAACGTTAAATAATAACAAAGTACATATCCATTAAACACATAAACATACCTTTAAGTTTAGGAGAATCGGCGTCCAATCCATGAGAGAGTACAAGATGGCTACAGACTACCTTTGCACCTACCCGGCCAGATTTTCTATGCACAGGATATATATATCTGCAGCAACTTGCACGCTCTGTTGATCATAAAACCAGGCCGGATTGTCTTACAACACACGCCAACCTCCATATCAACTCCCAGCGTTGTATTCATACTAGTTAGGAGATATAGTGTGAGCGTCCATGTATACGTAAAGACCGGTTTCGACCGGTGTGACCCTACCAGTAAACTAAATATCTATTTGCTGAATTGGTTTGTGAACTTCATTAAGGTCAATATGTGACATATGAACTCTGTAAAGCCTGTATCTTTTGGGGAGATAAAGCCAAATCTACCAGATATATATGCTTTAAATATTTCGATAATATATAAAAAAAAGTGTAGCTTAAGCTAAGTTAAATAATTTGATTTTCTTTTGCAAACTTGTTTATTACTTGTCCGTAATTATAACTGTCTTTATACATCACTTTTATATAATCTGCTTTGGAGGAGTTAGTTCCCCTTTGTGTATCTATAATGTTAATGTTTTAAAAATATGTAAACCATGTGTTCACCACCAGAGGTAGCTGTAAGGAAAGGACTTATATAGGCAATACCTGATGTCCACTCCTGTTGACTTCTTTTGTCAATAAGATATGTTGAAATTGGAAATTAACCGGTTTTCATTTCTGTAGACTATACAGTTTTCTCCGCTGAACAGTTGATACGCAGAGAAGGGATCCAATGCATCAGTTAGATTAGGAAGATTGCATTCCTTTTGTATTTTTACAGACGATAAAGCAAAGCAATCTTAAGGTGTTTATTTTACTTTCTGGCTACGAATAACTTCCCCTATCAAGTTACGTATCGTGCAATTTTGTCCCTGTTTTCTTTCTGTTAATTCCTTTTTAACAATCGAAATGTATCGCACTATATAGTGCTACCTCACTGATATACGATACCGAAGGCACCAAACACAGTATTCCACATATTCACACTTAACTGAGCTAACTGACAATGAGTTATCCATTTTTTGTGATAACCTTAAAAGCTGAACGATTAGTAGGTAATAACAGGAACTATTTAAGGACTAATAAGTCCCGGCCCAGGGGACTGAACTCAGTACCCTCGCCGCTCGGGTGAACGTCCAACACTAAGGCCAACCGTGTGGTATTGCCAAGCAAGGCGATAGGAAACAAAACGTTTTTATAAGTAAAGAGAAAATATGCATATCCCAAATGTTGCAATAATTGTAGCATATTTACTTGGAGGACACAAAATCTAAAATAAACAAGAATTCCACGGGAGTGGATGTGTTGTCTGCTCAGCGATTTTAGTAAGAAAAATGTTTTGGTTTGAATTATCGCGTAGACAGATATGCCAAAACACAGAAAGTTGAAACTCGTGCTATATGTTGAACATTATTGCTTCTAGCATTACCGTACAAAATTAGAAAGGATATGATTAAAAAAATTAAAACAAGTTCCTTCATTTACTACGCAATGCCCTTGTTTGGCAATAAAAGGGGCATAACTCTACCACAAATGCATGTAAACGTCTGAAATGCGAATTTGTTCGAACTATTTCGAAATGCAATATGTGTACAAGTTTCAGTTCAATCAACCCAAGGGAACTCAAGTTATCGCACGGAAACCTTGTTTCGGATGACGTAACCGACGACGCCGACAAATAATACCTTTATGTCGCCTCCCGCTGCAGGCGACACAAAAAGAGTATGTCATATTCTTTAAGGCGTAGATAAACCAAGATACATAAGTCTTACTGAAATCTGCCATTTGAGGACTTTGAAAAAAGCAGGTTCAGAATGCAAAACGTTCTTGATTAATATATTTAAATATTTTTTTATCTCCAAAATTCAAAGAAATTAATTATCAATTATTATGTATTATTCAAATGGGTTTTTCAGAATATATTAATGTACTGATCTTATGTACACAAGGAATTTGACAACAGGCATAGTCTATATACAAAACAACAGTATATTATTACACAAAACTATTTGAGAATCTAATTAAAACGTCTGGTGTATCTAATGTAATTCTGAACCGTCTCCACAATATTTCTAATCATATTAACTGATTGAAAACCATAAAGAAAAGTTTTGGTATTGAATGGAATAGCATCACTCATTGCTGACAGAGAATTAAGTAATATTTGTCTATGGTTAGTATAACGAGGACGGTGCAGGGGAAAACAACTACTGATACATCTTACCAGTCTACATATAGGGCACTAGATGGACAGTCCTGTCAAACCCGCAATGTTATATATTGTTTGTCGTGTTTGAAATATGACATATCTGTATATGTGGGAGAGACGGAGCGTGCACTTAAGGAAGGATAAAGGAACACGTGGCGGACATCCGGCTGAGTAGAGACAAACCGGTGGCACATCATTTTCTTGGAAGAGGTCATTCTCTATCGGACTTGCGGGTGTGCGTACTGGAAAGGGTTAAGGAGGAATCGAAAGTCGCAAGGCTTGTGATTGAGGGATTTTGGATCAAAAAGCTCAACACTGCTTTCCCCAATGGTATCAATACCAAGTGATGATGATTGCGTCACAATTTGTGAGGTTATGGTTTGATGACGTCATTGTGTTATGTTGACGTCATGGGATTAGTGTTATGACGTCATCAAAACAACGTCATAGTTATCATCATGTTTGTCAAGATGGATGTGACATAGAGGTCCGGTGACATTTAATCCCGGACGAAGGGCTAAGCCCGAAAGCTTGGAAAAGAGTACCTTAAGATTTCTTAATATTATTGCGTTCCCTATAGGAACATATGTTTATAGACAATTAGTATTTCATGACGTGTAAGGATCAGTCGGGGTCAATGACGTCATTAACAATCGCCATCCGGGCTTCATATGCAAATGAGACATTTGCAGACGGTATATCGTGGTTATACTGTCGCAAATTATTTTGCTTGACCAATCAAATGTCCTGTTACATCAGAAATGAATTAGAATTAAGATTTGCTTCAATAGTAACGGTAACAACTGCAAACCAGAATCAACATTTTGGTGTTTAGGAGTATATAATGATAGCTTATTCCCCCGTAAATAATAATATATATTACAACTCATCCAGACAGGGATGTTCAACACGCACTATTCAAAATTCAGCTAATTGCTTCGCTGACTTTTATATTCATCTACCTAGATTGGCATTTACATAAATATGGTTTATATAAAGGGTAACAAAAATTATAAAAGTACAGTACTTGACATCTACAGTTAAACAATATATCCAAAAAAAAAAGAATGGCGCTAGGTACAAAGTAAATGCTGTCTCTTTTGGCAGGTTGTATCGATACATCCGAAAAAAGGTAATTACGAGGATTAAAACAAATGCTTCAAAATCATTCCTAAAAGTTTCATAATAACGTTTATCTCGCCAAAAAAATACAAAGGTATAACTTTTTTTTAATTCAAAACGTGTTGAATTGAAGAAACAGTAAATAACCTGATGCGTAGGGCTTCATCTTATAAACAGGTATTATGGGGGTTATTCCAAGTCAGATTCAAAACATACCCTGCTTCACTATTACACACGATTTATATGTTACGGTCGGTACGCTTAACATAAATATTCTGTGAAAAAGGATCGCACAACCGGTTGTTACCACTTCGCATGCATGAATGCACACACTACGACTTCTAAATATATCTGTGAAAAAGGCTCGCATAACTGGTTGGTACCACTTCGCATGCATGAATGCACAAACTACGACTTCTAAATATTTCTGTGAAAAAGGCTCGCATACCCGGTTGTTACCACTTCGCATGCATGAATGCACACACTACGCCTTATTCATATTTCTGTGAAAAAGGCTCGCACACCCGGTTGTTACCACTTCGCATGCATGAATGCACACACTACGACTTCTAAATATTTCTGTGAAAAAGGCTCGCATAACCGGTTGTTACCACTTCGCATGCATGAATGCACACACTAGGACTTCTAAATATATCAATGTATGTAAGTGTACAGTTTTAGGCGAGTCGACGTGATTTTGTGATGTGTAGACGATGCAAGTTCCTGTATATATCGTACATAGATATACACTCTCATGGATTGGTTATCAAATCTCTAAAACGAAAAGGTATGTTTATGTTATTTGTACATGTGCATTGTTTGTTATTTAACGGTCACACACTCAGATCCTTAATTATAACCACATAGGAAGGCTACAGATAGGCCGACATATTGTTGTCAGTGTTATAGCTTTATCATAACAGCTCAGGTATCAACTTTATCCAAAGTAACCTCGATATCTATGCATTTTGATCAATATCTGTAGTATGTATATAACTCCATCATATTTGAAATTCAATTTATTTGCAGATATTTTGGGTGTTTATTTCATTGGTATATGATTACATAGCTAGGTATCATAGGTCCTATATACGTATCATTGTACCTCACCTAATCTAGATGGGATATCAGATAGATAATGTTCAAATTAGATCAATTTCGTGGGATATCGTAATATCACTTTGGATTTACTTAACTGATATTTGAAAGTGATCAAGCTCGAGATAGCTTCATTCTTTATTCCAGCTTCAAAATAACATATCTTATTTCCGGATTCTACCTCGATTCCAACTTCTTGTAAAATAGCTCAGTAGACAAAACATTTTTGACGAAAAGCAATCTTGCAGACATTGCATACTGATCATCTGAATTTGACTTTGTTGAAAAATATTGTATTTTTGAAAAAAATATTATATTGGATGTATTTTGCATTTCGGTTGAAACAGATCATTTAAATTAAAATTACATTCATTTAATATAACCATTTGTATGTTCATGCCATAATGATTTGTTCTTTTAGTATTTTACTCATAACTAACATTATGTAATTTTAATTTAAATGATCTGCTTCAACCGAAATGCAAAATACATCCAATATAATATTTTTCAAAAATACAATATTTTCCCTCAAAGTCAAATTCAGATGATCAGTATACAATGTCTGCAAGATTGCTTTTCGTCAAAAAGTACTTCCACAATGAAGAATATATGTAGCAAGTTTGTAATGTTAATGATATATAAAATTGTAATACGACAGTGTCCACTGTGTTTTAAAGAACATAAAATATAGCAGCATATTTCAACGTTATTTAAAGTGTTCAAAGATGACATTTTAAGTACGTTCGGTTATTAACAATGTTTTTAGTGTTAAACTATGGTAGCCTATTGCTTAGGAATTATTTTCATTTAAATATGAGATCAATCTTGATTGCCTGCTTATTATTTCTAATATATGTTTTACACGATTTCTACCTTAAATGTTGATAATATGCTATAGACTTCTGCATAAAATGTTAAATATGAAAGTCCATCGTTTAATATACTAATATGTGAAAGCCACTAGTATGTGATATGTAATGATTGCTCTCGTGTAAGGGGTTCATTCAGAATAGTAAACCCGACAGAAGTGAATCTCCGACCAATACAAAGGGTAACTATAGGGGTTGGTTGGACTTATAACATTTCCCATAACTTTACACAGAATCATTTAAAGGGTTTGAATGACCGATTCGCCCTATAACTGACACCACTGCGTTTAATTACATCCTCAAATGATTAATTTACTGACAGTAATAGGGAAACTTTTCAAAATAGGATATAGTGGTCATGTTGGACTTCAGAAGCCATATAGTGCCAATATTTCAACTGAAACAGATGAGTAGGGACATCACAAAGAAAATACTTATTTTAAAGCTGTTTCTTCCATTATTTATTTATTTACCTATATTTTCGTTTTTAAAGCTTACTTTTCTCATATTTAAGCTTACTTTTCTCATATTTTTTTTTCATACTACTACCATAAACCATATTATTTACAGTCGTTTTTTTTTTCTCTGTAAAATCTCAAAAGTTTGAAACAAAGTCGGAAGTGTGCTTCTGTCAAGGATAGTAATTATGACGTTCATGATGGAATAATCTTTAACTGAGCTAGAGAGTAAATTGTATGCAGGACAAAGAAAATGGCGAGTATAAACAATGTACCATGATAGCACAAACCGTCTACCGGGGATATACACACTGTACAAGTAATACTATAGTATTTGTATGACACATAATAACATTTGTCTTGCTGTGTCTGTTTCTGAAAAGAAATACCTGTGTAATAATACATATGGGGCAAGGAAGTAGTTCAAACAGTGTAGACAATATGAGGTTACTTCTTTGACAAATATGAAATATAATATAATAAAACAATATATATATATAGGTATGAATATTTCCAGCGGATCACAACTTAATGCTTTAATCAAAGACATTTCTTAAATCTGACTGCAGATATTCTTCATGTTTCGTTTTCGTTGTATGTGATGTCTACCATATGACGTCACAAATTTGTTGACGTCATAATACCGTTGACAGGGGTATACAAATAGATTCTAGGACGGACGTACACACGTCCGAAACTGATCCTTTTGCCGCATGATGAATCAAAACACATTTCTCAAAAAGTAAAATAATTTATTACATTTTTGTCAGTGAAATATCGGATTCTATCAACTTGATATAACTGATATCTTCCACACTGTGACAAATATCAAAAGTGATATTTTCACACTGTGAAAATATAACTTTTTGGTATTGACCAATCATAACGTTAGGTTTCCTCTATTCGCTGCATTCAAAGGCAACGATATTTTGTTCAGATTCAAATGCAGCGACGGTAGAATAAGTGGTTGGTATGGTAAATGTTTGGTACACACACTTAAGTATTTACATAAATATGCAGTTAATAACATTTTTATAAGCAATCATATCAGGATATTGTAGAAAACTGGCGCGCAAAATGGCGCGCAGCCTTATTGTCAAGCGTGACGTCATTAGAATATGGCGCTAATTATTACGCTTCTGTTTCCCGCCCTTTTGTTAATGCATTACATTTTTTCATGTTTTATGCTTTAAATATGTAATAAATAGAAAATTTAAGGATGTCTTCAGTAATAACAAATATTGCGCAGCACACTCGTGAAAAATATCAATATATTAGCCACACTCGTGAAATATATTTGTTATTACTGAAGACACCATTAAATATCCTCTATTTCTTCGCTTCGATGATTGTTCCTACAAATCAAACTATCTTACTAACATCTTTAACAATAGTAAGGTAGCAGTGTACAGTAGAGGGTTGTGGCCATGGGTGATAGTTTTGTCAAATGGCTAGCCCCTGTATAATGATATGTAAAAAAAAAATATAAAAATAAAACTGTACTAAAATTGGTATAAGCATGATGAAGTGGGCTATGTGAGCTTCACATTTGTAAAAAAGAAAGAAGATTTTTTTGGTTCGAGAATAACATTTTGGCCATAATCCGAAAGGGTGCGTACACATGAAAAGCTAGCTTTACAGGAGGTAAAATTTTGACAACAGCACACGACGCAAAATTGCAAAAAATCAAGTTCTACAATTTTACTGCGACCCAGATAAGTCTGCAACCAGGTAGGTAATCTTTAATTTCAGACAGAGCTTTGGAAAAAAATTACTAGTTGCGGGGGTCAAATTTTGGGTTTTTTGGTAATTTTTGACGTGGTTACCATGGTTTTCACACAAGTGACATACATAGAAAAAAGAGGTTTATACACTTCTCAGTACTTTATATGTATTGTAAATGTAATGCAGTTTACAAATATATATACATGTATACATGTGTTGTGAAGGGTAAATCCGCTGTGTTTACATTTCCTCGACATGTGCCTTGTTTATCAGAGTCGGGCCATTTCTACTGTATTCTGCTACCATATACACATAGAACTTGATTTTTTTCTGAAAAATAAATGCCTTTTTATGCTTGATTCAGCTTCACTTTCATTCATTAATACTTAAAACTACTCAAAAACGCCAAAAAAATCGTTACATAATTAGGTCAATATATAGGTCGTTAGCCTGTTACCTGTGGATGTATAAAGAGGGGTAACTCGCGCTTTCACAGGCACTTGTGAAATTCTGCAATTCATCACATATGTGTTAATTATGTTATTGGTAAAGTTGATACCAAACATCAAATAGTTCACAGGCTATCTCCTGATGCATTCATACTAGATTTCAGTCTGTTTCACTCAGTTCAGCACCCGGTAGCCATGGTTACTAATACATAAAGTTGTATTTATTGAAAATGGGTAAAATATCTGTTTTCATTCTAATTACACTATTTTAGATGTTTTTTCCACTTGATTCAGTATACAGATGAAATAAGCAAAGTCAGTAATGTCAATAAATTTTATTTCCATAATTACAGCTGAAGAAAATCTTTTTTTTTTCTAGCGAAATATGTTAAATGAACAATTTCTGAGGGTCACTGTCAATTCTAGGCGAGGAAAGTAAATAACGGTTGCTATGGTGGCACTTGTCTGATTTTTCAGAATATATGATATTTCTGTGCTGTTCATCGGTTACGGGAAGTGTGTCTGTTGCTAGTTTGTTGTTGAGATGGTTTTCCTAGTGTTCATTTTTTTGATATCAGTGATCCTCGATGATGTCATAGATGCCCATTGAGGACGTCATAGTTATGATAACATCACAGTTATTATGACTTCATCAAACAAGACAGTAACATCATAGTATCACTGTACTGTTTGTTTTTCACATGCAGATGATCTCAAAGCGTCATATTTCACCCAAAAAGAAATTTTATTCATGAAAACTACAAACCTATTCAAGTTTTCATTTTTCAGATTACCTCCTTTTGTTGGTAGTTTGAGAGCAGAATTGGTAAATACACCTGTCAGGGGAATTCATATTACTCGGTCACTATTAAAGCGAGAAAGGAAACGGATACATCATTGTGTTCATTGTCGCATTTTCCAGACATTTAAATTTTGGGAAAAAGAAAGTAATGTATAAGGTAGCAGTGTACAGTAGAGGGTTGTGGCCATGGGTGATATTTTTGTTAAATGGCTAGCCCCTGTATAATGATATGTAAAAAAATATGAAAATAAAACTGTACTAAAATTGGTATAAGCATGATGAAGTGGGCTATGTGAGCTTCACATTTGTAAAAAAGAAAGAAGACTTTTTTGGTTCGAGAATAAAATTTTGGTCTTAATCCGAAAGGGTGCTGACACATGAAAAGCTAGCTTTACAGCAGGTAAAATTTTGACAACAGCACACGACGCAAAATTGCAAAAAATCAAGTTTTACAACTTTACTGGGACCCAGATAATTCTGCAACCAGGTAGATAATCTTTAATTTCAGACAGATCTTAGGAAAAAAAATACTAGTTGCGGGGGTCAAATTTTGGGTTGAAAATAGCAATTTTTGGCATTTTTTGGTAATTTTTGATGTGGTTTCCATGGTTTGCACACAAGTGACTTGGGTAGAAAAAAGAGGTTTATACACTTCTCAGTACTTTATATGTATTGTAAATGTAATGCAGTTTACAAATATATATACATGTATACATGTGTTGTGTAGGGTAAATCCGCTGTGTTTACATTTCCTCGACATGTGCCTTGTTTATCAGAGTCGGGCCATTTCTACTGTATTCTGCTACCATATCTGTTGAATTTTTATATTTTTTTTTATATTGCAGAAACAATAATGGATTCGCAGCTTTTAGCCAGACAGACAACAATGTCAAGATGGTAAAACATAACTGGTCATGACCGTCTGAGGATGAAGAGGTACAATGAAGATATGTAAATAACATTTTCATAATTTAGTAATTGCCTAGCTCACAACACAGTAGATGAAATGGCGGGAAAGCAGACTTCTTCCTATAAAGCACACAGAGTCGTGCGTCCCTCCGGTCAGACTACATGTGTACACCACAAACAGGTTACCTTGGACTGGTTTTGTGAGACCTGTAGAGACCCTATATGTGCCAAATGTATTTCCACAACTCACAAGGGTCATATCTTTGTTCAACTGAGTGAAGTTACTCCACAAAACAAACAGAAGATCAAAACATTCATCAATGAAACCAAACGAAAGAAATTTATTCAAATACAACAGGAAATCAATTCTACCACGGAAAATCTGAAAAACCATCTAAGCCATTTTGAGATTGTAACATTAGAGGTGATGAAACAAGGCGAAAAACTTAAGGAGGAACTGGAGTTTTTGATCGCTCAAACACTTTCCCGGGTGAAGCATTTGGAAGAGGAAGGTTCAAAACTTCTCATCAGATATCAGAAAGAGCTCGAGGAAAAGTTTGAAAACATGAAAAATCACCTGAACGAGTGTAGGGAATCTCTACAGATTGGAACAGATATCCAGGTGTTTGACATTGCTAGAGGCCTCAACACCTATGTTACATTACCTGGAGGGCCAAGCCCCGGTAACGCAAACTTTAGCCCAAACAAAAATCCAGAGCGAACCCTGGAGCAGTCATTAGGTACGGTGACCTTGGTCTCGCCTGATCAATCCCGAGTCGACGCTGACTATCAAACCTCTTCTGACAATGACCAGTCGTATGTACACCTTACTTTGCCTATATCGACTTCAAACGATGTCATGACCCAGATCAGCCCACCACCGCAGACAAGTCCACTGCCACAAACCAAGGTTCTTTCGAAATGGACTGCCCCTTATGCTATCGGTTCTACCAGCTGCCCCTCTGGTGGAAGTGGGATATGGACACGTGACTGTTATAGTCGCACTGTGACCTGCTTCACCATCAAAGGAGACGTAGAGAATCAGGTTAAAAGTCCTATCAAGGTCATAGGCATTTGTACTTCACCTGTGACCAACAACCTCTGGACATGCTCCAAAACATATAACAGTGTAATGGAGCTAATTTCAGGAACATTTATACGGAGATTCAGCACAAAGGACTCGCCAATGTCCATATGTGTTACCAATGATAATCGGATTTTGGTGGGAACGGCTGGCAAAATCACGGAGTACAGTATAGGTGGTACACCTGGTCACACAACAACAATCACACAGGCCGGGAAACCATTGGTGTGTACGCCACAGAGTATCGCACTATGTCCTGTCAGTGGAAATGTTGCTGTCGTGGATCTTGATAAGTTAACAGCATATAGCAAGAGTAAACCCCACCTCACAGTTATGGATAAACACCTACATGAGCTATACCACTATGGACGAAAGCGGCATAGGAGCAGAACTGGCTTACAGTCTTTTGACCCCTGGGATCTAGCATACGACAGTCAGGGATGCCTGGTCGTAAGTGAGTTTCACAACCGCTGTCTTCATCTCCTGAATGGTGATGGACAATACCTACGACTCCTCCACGTTGACAAAGGTTTCGCTCGGTCTGTTTGTGTAGACAGTGGGGACGTTTTGTGGGCTGTGTTCGGTGAGCTTGGTACAGAAGTCAAACTACTGCAGTACACCAACTATGAATAAATGAACTTAATACCTTTGTAGCACATGACACACGCAACAAAATCAGCCATGCCGTACTGGTGATCCTACATTCACTTTAACGTACAGGTGACACACACGAACAGTCAAGCTTTGCTTCAAAGTGACGCTTAAGATAACTATTAACTAAAAATCAAAGAGAAGGTATTAAAACTATTAGGTTTTTTAGAATGAAGGATCCGACTATTTCATGAAGATAAGGATGCAAAAAGAGAGACAACTGAGCTAAAAACATTAGTTTTGAAGAATTTAAGCTTTACATCACTCAAAGAAATAGCACATTTCCGATGAGGGCGACCAAAAATCTTGCTCTTAGTCTTCATAAATTTTTCTCTGGCATCATTAAGCATTTTTGAAGATCATTCAGAAAAGTGTTTTTTGATTCTCAGAAGTTACGTGGGATTCATTTCCGACATTTGTTTTTTGTTTACACAATTATAACCATTACTATTATCCATATGTTGTAAAGCGCTTTAGAGTAATTTTACAAATTATATAGGGCGCTAAATAAATGTTGTATATTATTATTATTATTAATATCAATTAAGAGCTTCCCACCCTTCTCGCATGTATACGAAAAGGGTGGAAAACTCTTGATGTCGGAAATCAATATATACAATCATTGGGGGTGGCATTTTTACCGAGAGTAGATTTAACCCTCTAAAAGCTTCTACTTTCACTCTGTCCTGTTCTTCGAATGACAACCAACTCCTTGTCGGCCAAACATGTGTTTATAATAATATCTCACACTTCTTCGAAACCCAGCGACTCCGCTCTGGACAATCTTTTCGCACACCTCAGACAGAGATACCCTACCTTATACCCCGTGCTAGATTTTTCTATCTCGTCCGATCTGTCTTGTACCTTTACGTGTCATTTCGCGGAATTTTTGCACTGCGATGTATTCATCCGGGTGTTAACTGCTTGAAATGGACAATTTGCATTATATATGTTCTGTTTTGTCGTTAAATTTATAGTTTTGATGTTGTTAGATATTTTATGCTGTAGATAAAATATAATCTACACTGTGAAATACGTTGTAATCTATGTAAGGACGGACTACATTTTTACGCGGAAGCAATCAAATCATTTGAGGCCCACGGCGGGATACTTGTATTTTTTAGCAAAATTCAATAGTTCTTTTCGAACTAAAGGTGCGAGAAAACAAAGCTTACGCCTCGGTTAAGATTTTGTTACAGAATCTCAACCCTCGACTTAGATAACCCGGTCTCGCTCAGTTACAGGTAAAAGATTTTATTAATCTTGTCTTTACCATAAGATTATGGTGTGATAGAATATATTTCTCTATACGTGACACCTTGTGGACGATGCAAGTAACTGACTTAGAGTGATGTTTTTGATGCTAATTAAAGGAATTACACGGCAGGGAAGCGGTAAAATAGGTGCTGGGTTAAATTGTGGCAAGGCCTGATACCGAAACATATATGAAGAGTTTCCTCCAGCATCATTCAAATCATATTCCGCCTTGCTATGTTAAGTTCCAAAACTGTGTTTTATTCTATAAAAGATTTATTATACTAGCTATTGTCCGTCACATTTTGCTTACAATGTGCCAATAATAGATGTTGTATGAAATGCCTCGTGTGGGCCCTAAATTGGAAATAAATAATTGTGTACATTGTATCTAATCCAATATTGAAAACAAATATTTGTTTTTATGTTTGTTTGTTTGTATGGATTATATGGGAGACACTGCCGATCGGAAAGAATAGGAAAGTAAGATAGGAAATGATGTAGATCTTAAGTATTGTATTTGGGGCAGCAGATCAATTCCTATTTCTTCAATATCCTTTAATAGAAGAAATGGGAAACCGGAGTACCCGGAGAAAACCCACGTGTTCGGGTCACCTGCCCGATCACGTGTGTTTTCTCCGGGTACTCCGGTTTCCTCCCACACTAAGACCCCCCACGCGCTAACATCCGGGCCAGAAAAGAGTGATTAAAATAAATTGAAATAACTTGTTTCATAATTGTTGTAAAAAAGATAAAGTTTATATATATGAATAGAAGAAATGGACGAAAACCCCTGATTCTGATTGGGGCCAACATTAACCGCCTCTTGCTACATGCAATCGGATACAGGAGGTATATTCTTTCCCAGAACTGCACACGCCAAAAGAAATATGTCAGACTTGATCAGTAATATCAATATTACTTATTGAAAAAGTAAGAAGATTTCATTACTGCATATATAAGAAATCCGAAATTCCACTTTTTTCTCTACACTCTTGAAATATATCACGACGACATCGAATGCTCACAGTTATCCATTAATTTGGTTTCGAACGTAAAAAACTTGCTTGGATGATTATAGAGGGGCTAAACTACAAACAAAGCCAATCAATTTTACCGTTATGCTATCGTGCGATTCCTTTTTTTCTTTGCAAGAATCCGCAAGTTCCCACAGAGTTGAACTGGTATCATCCACAAGGTGACGCGAACAGAGCCTTCGATTTGTCACTCATGACAACATTATTCCAGGGATGCATAGAATGTGTGTATAGATTGGTAACGGAACGCTTAGATCTAAAAAATTATGAAACCAGTACATGCTTTTAACCATGCCCTAAATGATAAAAACAACAAGTTCTAGTAGTAATTGTGACCATTAAAGAACTCCCCCCAACTGCCCCCATGGTCTAATTGATGCATCAAAATTAAGCAGGTGATTATGCCATAAAACACTTATATTCAACCGGTCATTTTGAGTAGCCAAGAAATGGTGGCCGCGTTGTCCAAAAATAGAAGCAGCAATATAGTTCGCAGTAACTCTATATACCTATACCAAATTTGAGCAAAATTGTACAATTTTTAAATTTCAACCAATCAGAGGCCAGTTTACATCAGCAATTTTGTAAAATTACAATACGGTGTCTGTAATAGTATTCGTAGTAGCATTGATGACCACGTACATACCAAATTTGATTGAAATCAGCTAATATTTAAATTTCGATCAACCAGAAGCCAGTGTATGACGACCATAAAAAAAACAGAAGCAGTATGAGTGTCGCAGTCCAGTCAATATCTAAATTTCAACCAATCATAAGCCAGACCGTGGTGGCCATTTTGTCGAAAAAAGTTAAGTTTTCCCCAAACTGCCTCTGTAAGTAGAAATGATTTATTCGAAAGAATCTGCATTGCCTTAAAAATCAGGAAAATGGGTGGCTTTTGACATCACCTTAGCGTCCACCCATAAATGTATTAATCAAATATACAAAGTATGTAGGCAATGGAGGCCATGTTGGATGACGATCAGAAAATGAAGCGACTAATGCTTCACTTGCCCAGCAACGCTGAGAAAACGTTCGGTGACCATTTGGCGGAGGAAGAAGAAGAAGAAGAAACGCAGCAAAACCATCAGTCCTTGAATACCAAACTTCGTTTTGATGATATAATAAGAGTTATCTCTCTTTGATCACTTCTCACGCTAAAAATTACCGTACACTTAAGTTATGCGAAACATGGATAATGTTTCTGTTAATGTATTGGTACCATCCCATCCATCATAGAAACTAGATTCGGAAGTAAATAATTCATATACAACAGAACGAAAATAACGTTAGTTTATTTCAAATTGATGCCATTTTATACGGGCTGAGGACCCATATTTCCTTCTGTGGGCTCATGCATTTTACACTTTTCATGTATTTTTTATGAAGTTAGTTGTCCTACTATGAAATAAAAAAAAAATGCATCCTGAACGCAAATTGATAATAGGTTTGTGAATTTTGATTTGGCAGCACAGGACTTTACTCCGTTGCATCGCTCTTACATGTTCTGAAAATCGATTTGATCATGTAGAGATCGTTTCGTAAGAGCGACAGTCCCTGGATCTGCGGGTCCAGGGTTCGAATCATCGTCTAGTCCAGTTGCATTTTTACTAGGAACACGAGCTGTGGTCGATTTTTTTTTTTTTTTTATTTCATCTTTATTCCTTTTTTCATTAATGTTTTGGAAGGCATGTATTTTTTCTTCAGAAATGATTTATGAATACTAATAATGTCATTCCAGAAAATAAGGTAATAAAAATAATATATACTGCTTTATCACAACCTAGTTCGTAGGTCGTTTCAAAGCGCTTCACAAATTCCTGTTCTTTATTATCATTTGCATCCAGCCAATATCTTTCTCAACTTCCTCGGGATCATACAGCCGGTGCTGCCAATTTGGCGCTCACAGCTAGCATTTAACAAGTCTAGCACTGTCCAACCACGTACTCATTTACAGCTGAGTAGACTGGAACAAGCGGAGTAGAGTATATTGTTCAAGGATACAACATAGTGCCGTGACGGGATTCTGATCCATTGTTAGATTATTCGCAGTGACACGGGGGCCCTTAAGTTCTGTAATCTTACCTCATCTTCAGCGCATTGTACATGCACATTTCGTCTTTCTAGATTATCAATAGTGCAACACAATCTCACCGTAAGTAAGGCTTTAGGTAATTCCAAAATGTATGATGTATTTTAAGTAATACAAACCTGTATGAGAATAGGTTGCAGGATGTCGTTTTATACTGAATTATACGTCATTTTCTATTGTAATCACATCTACATTGAACACATATCCTTATTATTCATAAGCATCACCTCGCGAGGTTTCTGTTAATGATGAATCATGACGTCACAACTATGTTTGAAATATTGTTGGTTTTCCATTTTTGTATTTACAGTTCATTATCGCTATATGTTAGCACGGTTGCCAAATTGTGAAATAAGATTTTCTACCATTTTACTAAATACTGAATATATATTTGGTATAAAACAAATATATAATAACACCAAGTATACGACCTGCAGACCTAGTATATAGCCCCGGTACAATGAATGCCTTAACATGTTTGTCTTAGTATGCCTATGATTCTGGGTTTCGCAGAGCCAATGGAAAAAATAAACAAAATATTATTTATCTGCATGCATGATTTTCAAAGGGAGTTAGCTCCCCTTTTACGCACAACGCTGGCAAGTTACCATCATACTCTAAAAATAAAAATGTCAATATCTACACTTCTTCAGAGTCCTTTACCTTCCAGATACTTTCCGCTGTCACTGTATGGTCAAATAAACTCTAAATAATCGTTCCGCACGTCACTTAATGTAACTCACTCGTTTGTCGCACGGTGATGAATTATTCACGGAATATTGCGTTTGAAAGAAATAATTAAGCGACTTCGTACAAATATCAAGACAGCGATTTTTGGTTTTGTTTTGTTTTATCGGGGTGCTTCAATACAAATACCCAAGATAATGCCCCGGACTCTACAGTGATCTTATCGACTTTCAGCAATACGAATTAAATCTGTACACGGTACATATAGTTTTACTGCTGTTTATCGTTGACAAATATGTGTTCGTTTACAAGTTTTGGTCTCAACGAAAAGAAAGACGAATGGAATTACACCCAATGTAGACTAGAGATCAACACATTGCCCATTGTTGCATATTCCAAGGTTCCTGTGATCCGGAAGTGTTCGAGTCACGGCACGGCACGACTGTGTTGTATCTGTTCCAGTCTACTCAGCTGTAAAAATGAGTACGTGGTTGGGCAGCGCTAGAATTATTGAATGCAAGCTGTTAGCGCCGAAATGGCAGCTCCGGCTGTATGCTACACAGGGAGATGAGAAAGATATTGGCTGGTTGCAAAGGCCCTATAACCGCGGATAATAATTTGTGAAGCGCTTCGAGACGACCTACAATTTGGTTGTGATAAAGCGGTATATATAAGAACCTCGAATTATTATTATTATTATTATTATTATTACATATTTCCTGCATTTAAGTTAGTTGCATACGGTGGCTGATTGAGACACAGGGGCTTGTAACAAATATATAAAAACATATGCAAACACAAAGTCTAGCATCATAGTGTACTATAAAACATTCTGAAATGAAATGAAATAAAAATGTACGTTCGTATATATTTCTATTTGTTACAAGCCCCTGTAACCATCCAAATATTCGTTCTCATTATAACGAGAATAACATCCCTTTAAACCAACTTATTTTCTTGTTATAACGACTATGGTTATCGTTATAACGACTTGGTATATCGTTATAACGAGTTACCTAGTCGTTATAATGATAAACTAGGATGGTATATCGACGAATTTAAATACAGTAAAACCCCGCTTACTCGAACTCGAGGTTCCAGATCAATAGTTCGAGGAATACATGGTATTCGACGAATCCGAGGTTCGACCGACATCACCTTTTTTATCAGGTGGGACAACAGACAGTGCGAGAGCTTCATATGATATCGCAGAAAGTAGATGTTTAAAGCATATGATAAGACTTAAAATAGCTAAACAATGAAAACATATAGCCACCGGTATCAAGAAAGTAAATAAAATTAAAAAGCTGCGTGTGTAACGTACATTGTACTTGCTGTTTTGATATAGTCCGCCATACTGTAATCGGCTACGTTGATTTTACAAAATATCAAAACGAGAGGAACTCTTCAAGTTGATCATTTTAAAATGAAAATAGTCTTGAATCCTTGTCATCATAATGTTGAAAGTTTTTATAACGAAGTTGTTATATATAATGTCATACTAAGTAGTTTTAGCGAAATATTTACTCGCTATAACGTGATACAAAGTCGTTTTAACGGGATACTTTACTAATATTATGTGATGTTATCTCGTAATATATGTAACTAGATAAAGTGTCATCAACCAGCCACCGTATCATTATCACCTTTGTGTGTGAAACATTTATCTTCCTGTGATTATTTTGATTTCTCAATTAAAAGAGCTGGAACTGTCATCAATGCTAAAGGAAAGCATCCATGCTAACGTATAAATATGTGATATCTATGTGTTAATAAGTTGGGGAATTCAAGATATGGGGTTTTGTTTGGCAACCTGTTTCAAAGTCATTGCATCCCTTTTTTCAAAATAATAGGTCAGATATATACTGACCGATGACATAAATTTCAAAACTATAAATCGCTGGGACAATGTAAAGTTCCCGTAGATAAACTAGAAATAGTCTTGCACAGGTTCGATACTAGCAAATCAACACCATTCGGCAGAACTCGGCTATTTCCGGCCACGCTCGGCTTTACCAGCTATTTATGACACATGGTGTTTTATTTTGATTTCAACAAACTTATTTTATCAATGTGCCCTCTTTTATCATATAGTTCAAACTAACTTATAATCCCATTCCTAGGGCACTTTTTAAAACCTTCCGCAAATTCAAAAACTGGTTCCCGCCAACTTGGATTGGCAACGGTACATTTAACCCCGTGATGTACTTTAGCGAACAGGTGTACTTTTAGTCAAGAACCGAAACGATAGTCACGTGGGCTTTGGATATTGACGTGCTGTTATTCAGACACGGACGGGCAATGCACATGGATAAAAGGCCCCCCATGGGGATTTTCAAAATTATTGTTGTAATTAGGTTAAACGTTTCCCTTGAATAAATCCGTCTTTGTTTCGAAATGTATCCCATTGATTTCAATTTGCTGATTTATTATCTTCTTTTATATAAATTAATAGTTCTGCTTGCACTAAACAAATTACCCTTTTGAGGCCTCATCTGGTGAATGGAAGACAGCAAAGTGTCAAAATACATTAGCAATTACCAATATCTAATGATTACACATGTCAGAAAAAAACCATTACTGTAGATTTTACAACACTCCCGTAATTTACTTTCAAAGTAACAGTGAAGAAACGTACCTGTTTTCGGTAATTCTACTTGTAAATGAAATGGAAAACGTCTGTACAGACATACCGAACATTTTGGAAATACCCAAGGAAAATATTTCTGACCTCCAAGGAATGCTGAATGGAATGATTTCAGAATACGAATTGTCGGACAAACAATTGGAGTTGGCGGGCGAGGTCGCTTCGGCATTAGCTATGCAAGGACGATTTGAAATATTGGGCAAGATGGTTAACAACATCTGTCAACAAAAAATGGAGAAATTCATGTCAAACGAGTCGTTTTTACGGGCCTTGGTAGCGCTAAAATTTGAGCAGAAAAAATACAAGGACGTTGTCAATTTGTTAAAGGTAAGATTTGTAATTTCACTACAAAACTTGATATTTCATATTGAAATTCAAAGTTTCAATGTTTTAAATTTAAAGCCATTTAAGAGATTTGAGAACGAAAAAGAAAAAAAAATGCAAATTAGAGTCGAAAAGGGTTTTCGGACAACAGAATTTAACAATTGATATTTTATTATTTTTCACTCCTTTTCCAATCAATTCAAAAATTAGAAGCAAAGAGATATAAGCAGTTACTAATTGGAAACAATTATTCATGCTTACATACATAAATACAAACACACAACCGGCACACGCGCACATCTCAATCGCACCCACACATAGCGTAATTATAGTACAATGCGTTTTGTTCATTGTGCGATTCTCTGATAAAACGAAGCGGTCAACGCCACCCTATCTATTTAGGAGGGAGACTGAGTATTTTTCAACCAGTGAATTTGATTAACTATTCCTGTATTCTAACATCTGATGATTTCATCTGAAAGAACAACTCAAAATGTGTCATTTCAAAGGGTTATTTTGGCTCTAGGGGGTATGTAACCACTTTTTATTTTTGTTTTAATTTTGAGTATCTCCCAGATGGAAATTTCTAAAAGTTGGCAAGTATATAAACGCGTTCTAATTTAACTATAACCTATAAAAATCACAAGGACCTGAGAACTTGTTACAGATATTTTTGGACCTATGTTGGTTATTTCAACTTTCGGTAAAAATGCCACCCCCAATGATTGTCTTTCGGTACAAATGCCAGTTTTTACCAAATGTTTATCTAAACCCCTAAAATTACCCTGAACACTTTAGTTTAGGTCCAAAAATAGCTGTAACTAATTCTCAGGTTCCTGTGTAAAATATCGCCCTAAACAATCCCAATATTGTGCAGAAGGGGCGATTCAGCAACTACACCGGTCTCCTAGAGATTTGGGACGAGGCTCATTACGGAGAAAAGGAGGAAAAACTTGACCATAAACTCAATGCCCTCATCAGATTCAGAGTCCGACAAAAGTAAGTTACGTTTCACTGCCTTATTTTCGCAACACCCCGTCCCCCGTCCCCCGTCCCATGTGCACGTATAAAATGGTATTAATAAAACACCTAAGATTTTCCTATTCAACAATGCTAGCTCTCCGAGTTTGTGTGCCGCTAACGGTAAAAAACTGTGATAAAAAGATATTATTAAAATTTTGGATGATAATCACTTTAACTACCATCTTGAAATATTTTGAAAAGTCTGTTAACATTGTTTTAATTTAAAATATTTGATTGTACAGCTTAAGGCCCTCTCTGCAATACACAAACTCAAATTGAGAAACAGGTAACTTATATTGATCACAAGGAATGTCATTTTAGAATAAAAAACAAATACTTGTGATTTCAGAAATACTTACACTATAATATAATATTTCCTCATATGTTCCAATTTCGATCATGCATCTTGCCCTTCATTGCCCCAATTAAGAATCCACAGATACAATGATAGTTTTAGAAAAATTGTTGCAAAATTAGTTCAGCTATAATTTTCTTAACAATAATTGATATTGTTTATCAACATAGCGCTGAAAATAGTATTTTATAACAAGTAATTTTTTTCTTTAAAGTAAAGCTAGAAAATGTAGTAAAATGAAATAAAAAATGTAAGATTTTTTTTTATAACAATCAAAATTTAATCCAATTTACAATTTAGAGAGATTTGTAAATTGAAAAAGAATGGAAAGAAAAATATTTGTACTTTTCTCAGATTGTTTATTTGAGAAAAAAATTCTTCAGATGAACAAAAAGTTTAATAACATAAAGGAAACTAAAATAATGCAAGGGCCTCAAAAATTTGTTTGTTTCTAGAGAAATATTGCAAAAAAACTGTTTTTAATTTTTTCAAGGCCTTTTATTTTTTTAAACAATGTTTGGTTTTGCCCGTTTAGCTTTCAGACCATTAGCATACAAACTGAGACAAGCAACAATGAGGATATATTTTAATGATTAAACAGCAATGCAATAGAAAATATGTAAAAAAAATAGATAAACATTATTATTTGTTTTCAGGTTTTCCCACATATACATATCTTAAAACTAATTCTTTCAAAGCAGAAAGAATACACTGATAAGCATGTGATCCACCCCAAATAGAGTTAATCATTTTTAAGAATATTAGTTGTAATAATCCTATTTTCCAATTCTGGTTAATAAAATATGTTTAAAGTCAAAGTTAGGAATATTTCTAGGCATATATGATACTTCAATAGATAGCTATCAAGGTAATTGTCTAGTGAGTGGGCCAGAAAACAGTTTGACAGAACTTTAATTTATACTGCTGATTTTGTACTTCTTAAGAAATCCACCACCTCCGAATATCTGTCCTAGTGGTGAGCGACCGAGCACAAAACTATCGGCCAAGTCAAAACATGTGCTGAATAGATGGTTCCTCGACAACTTTTCCAATCCCTACCCTTCACAGGAAACCAAGCAATACCTCGCTCAGACGGCAGGACTAACAACCTACCAGGTAAATAAAGTTAAGAAGTTCTGTAGGGGACCTTTTCTGTCCAAAAAGATTTAAATTTTATTAGCCATTTGGCCATCATTTAAATATTTGTGGAACTGATAAAAAAATACGGATTCCTGACCCACTGCAGGTAAAAACACTGAAGAATTCCTCTGTAGGTTTACATACTCAGAGTTATCTCCCCTGATAATTTCTCCTAAAGTATTGCACAAGCTGAATTTAATGATATCTTGTGCTCATAACCCTTTAAGGCCTTTCATCATAGGAATGTTAATAAAAAGTTATAGATATTAGAGTTACCTTCTGTATTTATTGAGTTTTGTCCCTTTGTTAAAATGGAAGGAGAAGCATAATATTACTAAGTACTATTAGGTGTGAGAAAAATTCTCTCTCTCAAAAAAAGAGATGTTTTCTTTATTTTAAAGGTTAAGACTTGGTTCGCTAATGCAAGACGAAGACACAGATTGTCCGGGAGACCGGGCATCTCTGGCAGACAGAAGGAACCACTGCAGGAGTTCTTCCAGGAATACCATGGAAGTTTCTATTCCAAGTTCACTAGAAACGTTCCGTCTCATCCCACACTGGGAAACCCACAGGGCCATTTGTCTCCGCAATCAACCGTCCGCTATCAGAATGTCTCCACACCTACATCTTATAATCGGTGTAATATGACAAATCTACAAAAATCTCCTGGAGAAATGCTGCCAAAACCTACTGGAGAGTTTCCAGTGAGCGGTGTTTCTAAAGTTCCGAACACGGGATACCTCAATAACAACGAACCTCGCTGTTACGGATCCTGTATCAGGGAGCTAGCTCGCATGTGTGAGAAACTCCAGGTCCCAAACAATCAGACAAGTCATGTGACCAGGGTCTCCACCTCGCAGAATCTGCCCCAATGGACGTCCCCTAGACCGGGGCCTTGGCAGAACCCGGACACCCCCCACCAGTGGGGCCCCAGCCAGACACCCATGGTTAATACGTCACCAGATCACATTGTACCGATGGAGGTTCATTACTATGCAGGTCAGTTGTAAGATAAATTTGTTGGAGAGTTTTCCTGTGAAATTTTGAAACATTTAAAGTTTTTAAACAGTAGAAAACAATTATTTATAAATTAATTATTTTTCATACCACCTTACTTTAAAATGCAAATTTTGAAGGATCTCCACATAAAGTTAAAAACCAAAAGGACATATGTTTGCTTAGGGTAACAAGTTGAAAATTGGTCATTGGTTAGGAACATTACATTAAAAATTAGTTTTGATCTATATCTACTTTTTTTTAAATAGTTTTTTTTAATAATAATTAAACTCTTTTAAGTTATTAGATAATGCTAGGTTCCACCAGGGAAATATAGGAATATTTGATCATAAAACATGAAAAATATTTTCTGGAATACTCTTTTTACCTTCAAAAAAACAAATGAAAAATTGAGGGTCAGAGTTTCCGGACAAAAAAATTAAGTTAGGTACAGGGAACTGTTAAAAATATCTTCTTTTTTTCTGTTTATAATAGTATGTATTTTATGTATGGTATTTCAAACATTTAACTTCATTAACTAATTAACAACTCATTTGAAAAGTACACAAAAAATGATGACACATTTGAAAAGGACTTCGAGAGAAGTGATGACACATTTGAAAAGGACACAGAATTCATGCTTTGATAATACTAAGGTGATAATTACTGAATCACAATAATTTGATTCTAATATAAATTTAAAGGGAGGTAATTCTTAACACAAAGTTCCAGGTATATTATGTGAAAGTAACATATAGCCTTAACTTGTAGCAGGCATTAATCTAGAGAAGTGCTTCACACTTATATTATAAATGTATACACATTTTGTACCTAAGTAGGCCAAACAAAATGAAATTGTTTCAATTTCAGTAGACCTGGAGACAGCATTTCAGAATGTAATAATGCATGTTTAAAACTAGTTTAATTATCACAAAAATCATTAAGATAAGCAATTAAAACTACGATTAAATTAATTACAGTGATTTTATGCCTTACTTTCATAACACATGCATTATTAATACTCTACAGTCTACTCAGCTGTAAATGAGTAAGTGGTTGAGCAGTTCTAGAATTGTTGAATGCTAGTGATGAGCGCCGAAATGGCAGCACTGGCTGTATGCTCCCCATGGAGTTGAGAAAGATATTGGCTGGTTGCAAAGGCCCTATAACCACGGAAAATAATTTGTGAACCGCTTTGAGACGACCTTCAAACTAGGTTGTGATAAAGCGGTATATAAGAACCTAAAACTATTATTATTATTATTATTATTATTACACAAAATGTTTTATTAATTTCTAAGTGAAAATATAAATACAAATTATGTTTTAAGAAATGGGAATTGTCATAAGATTAGTATGATATACTGTTGATAGGTAAACACTGTATTGATATGATATATAATCTGATGTTTATTACATATATAAGATTTATTTAGGGAAATGAAATATTTTTGAACCAGAATTCAGTTAACTTTATTCAGAATTCTTGTTTCTCAGCAGAGGAAACTCCTACCTACCCAGCCTTCAACAGCATGCCACAACAAAGCCAGGCCACTCCGGGGTATCTCCCCCTCCCCCTCCAGTCTCCAGAGGGGCAGGGCCACAGATATTTCCCCCAGGGTGTGCATTACGGTTCCTACCAGACAAGCGAGATGCCAGCTCTGGCCAAGTAAGGCAAAAGAAAAATTGAATTTATCTTGAAAAATTTGAAAAAATACTGTCACAACCATGTAATGATATTTGTTTTCAAATTTTAAAGTACCTTTTAACTATTATGCATCCATATAATTGATTTGGTTTATCAAAAAATTTGAAAGTACATTGTTTCCCAGTAATAACAATCTTGATTGTAATATTAGCTTACTGGTTAATGATTTTGTAAAGAGAAACAAATCATGTCAATCTTTGATGCCAACATATATGATATCAGCAAATGTAAGACTTAAAAGTGACAATTACCTGGCATGAATTTTTTTAATAAAAAAAAATAATAAAAGTATTAAATGGAACATGCAATGGTTTTCGGTTGCATATCATTTCTCTCATGAGACAATATATTTCAGATTATGATTGATAAGTTTTCCTTCCAGTTAAAGAAAATTCCCGAAATGTTAAGTCTTAGGGAAATAAAATCAGATTAGAAACATCTACTATTCACACTTTAATTACAGAATAATCCTTAAAAATACTTTCAAGAAGGACATAAGAAAAATTCCTGTACTTTATTATAATATATATTGACTTTGAAATGACAAGATTTGAATGACTATCACAATATTTTTTAAGTCAACAACAAAGCATACTGAACCCACACACTGCTGGACTGGAGGGAACAGGTCCAGGGAATGACCCGTACACTTTGACTTTTGAACCGCAAGCTTACCAGGTCAGACACCATGTCACTTTATAATTAAAAAGGAATTCGAATATCAGAATTTATAATTAAAAAAAATACAAAGAAATGAAAAAAATATGGTATCAACATAAAAATAAAACTATTAATTGATATGAAATGTAAAGTGTTGTGTACATATATATACTTCAAATATACTTACACAGAGTTACAAATATGACAAATTAAACTGCCATTCTGTTTCTTTTTCATGAAATCTCAGAAACATGACTTTTCCGGAATTATGAAAATACTTTGCATAACAAAAATTATCTCCCCTTACAGTTTTACATTGTGTATCAAAATTTCCGTTAGGCAAATTCCGCTGACCAGGTAGCTCCATCGGTTAGAGCGATAGTATATATATATATCAATCTGAAGTCTAGAGTTCAAATCCCGGTCTGGCCCCGTTGAATTAATTTACACCCAAAACACTTGTTGGTAATATTTTGGTTATTTCATCTTTAATATTTTTCATAAAAGACCCACACTTAGGCATGTGTTTCTTTTCAGAAATGATTTATCAAAGCTGTAGTCAGTTTCCAAAACTCAGTTACAGTTCTGGGCAGTGGTACAAGGGTCTTTCATAAATGATCATAAAATTACGATAGCAAAAAAATATAATTGTTTGGAAAACCATTTTATCCCATGAAAAGCTAAATCTTCATAAATTTATTCAGCGTGATTAGTCATAAAAATGTGATATTTTTTCCTTCTAACAGACTCTACATCCTCAGTCAGAGCGAGAAGTGGCCATGGTGTTGTTAGATCTATCTTCGGACCGGTCAGCACAGTCCAGTCAGTCAAGCCAGTCAGCAATGTCATAGATTTTAGTCAGTGTGCAGTCGACAACGTCATAGATTTTAGCCAGTGTCCGGTCGGCAATATGTCATAGACTTTAGCCAGTGTCCTGCGGTCAGCAATATTATAGATTTTAGCCAGTGTCCAGTCAGCAATGTCATAGATTTTAGCCAGTGTCCAGTCAGCAATGTCATAGACTTTAGCCAGTGTCCAGTCAGCAATGTCATAGACTTAAGCCAGTGTCCAGTCAGCAACGTCATAGACTTAAGCCATTGTTATCAACAATGTCAAGCCCGTATGAGGAAAAAACATTTCATTGACATTAATCATACACTTTCATTAAGAATATTTCTAATGTTGAAATTAGAAATAAACAAAAAAAGATGAAATCTCTGTATGATCATCTAGATTACATTGTATTTGGTTTCATACACTTGTTGCACTTATCTGACAAATTTTTAAGGGGCACTTAAAATAAATCCTCAACCCTGGTAAACTTGGGTTGGTTTCTGATATGATGCATTGATTTGTTTCTGTCAACACTCTTAGTATGGGTTTTTTGCATATGTTTAGCAAAAGTTTTGGAAATGTTGAACATTTAAGGGCTATTTACAAGATACAACCCTGATATTTTTACAGTGAAATGATAAAATTTGTAAATTATACCAATAAGGATAAATGCTACCTTATTGTGACATTGTAATCTCCTTTCAAAAAGAGAAAGAGTTCGACTTTCAGAAAATGTAAAATATCTTTCATGGGTGGTAACTAATCTGTGTATTGATGACTCTTTGGTAACTCTTAATAATAAGAAACTGTTTATGATTAATTTGTTAAGGGAGATAACTCAAAATTACAAGTAAGGTAGCAAACATTTAAAGTTAAACTTTGTGATATGTTAATGTATCATTTAATAGTAAAATTTAAAATCAAATTTGACAATTTTAAATTATTGTCATGGATTGGTGTACCAATTTGTACACATCATAATGAGAAGAGTATTTTTATGTTTATATATTTTTACAGGAAAAATAAAAATGTGTAGTCTTCAGAGTTACATAAAACCTTTAATGATTGCAGAAGGAATCAGGAATCCATATTGTTTTTATTTGGACTTCAAAAAAGCATATATTTTGGAGGAAATTTATTGCATGTCCAAAGCTACATAAACATTGTTTATATATTTTTTTTAAATGCAAATTATTGTTTCAATGTTTTTATTTACACATAGTTTATTTTCATATATTACACTGTTTACATGTTGAAGATACATACACTTTAATTTACATGTCATTACAAAAAAAAATATCTAAATTAGATATGTGAATTAAAAATTAAAAATCAAATCTAATTTCAAAATTAGAAATAAGAGCTTAAATGATTTTTTTTTTACTAGGTTTTAAATTAAAAATATGAAATATCTGTTTTAAAGCTTCAATAAAATTTGAGTAATATACAAGTAAGCTGCTACTATAATTCATTTGCATTGATATTGATATTGCCCGATAAGGACTGCTGTAATAACTTGTGTATATTGAAAATTTTGGTTTCTATAACAAGCAGTTTTATTGATAATCTATTTATTTTCTTTCTATTTTCTTTTCATTTTATTTCATTTTTATATTAATAGCTTTTGGTTCTTTTAAAGAGAAACCTTTTTCAGTCTTTAAAACAGCAAAAAAAGAAGCTTTTACTACAATTCAAGTCAGCTTTTAAAATATGAATGTTTTATATTTCATTTTTAAAACAAAAACGAAAATTTTATAGTCTTTGATTCTTTCCTGTAAATATGAATATTATTTATGTTATGAAAAGAGCAGAAACATAAATTTGATAAATGCATGTATGATTCAAAAGAAAAAATATGTAAGAATAGCATATAACCTATTGATTGTGCGAAATATTAAATTCTGTAATGTGTATATAATCATGGTTGTGAGGTTTTCACAAGTTGAAAAATGTTTGCTGAAGTAAATGAAGGGAGATAACTCCATTTTTATAAAATTTTGTTAAATGTTTAAAACCTTAAATGTCCTTAATTTTGTGACAAAGACTTTAAATTGTCATATCAGAAATAATTAAGATTTTAATATTTTTTGTATAAGACAAATTATATTTGTTTTGTTTGTGATTCTGATATCTATTTTGCAGAGAGTACATAGAATGTACATGTTGATTATATATTTTTGGATTGCTTCATACTTGTCGGTCACATGATGTGTTAAATTATAATTTGATTTTCAAATGATAACTTTGAAATTAACATAAATGTAGTTGATACTTTGTCAACTTGTTAAACAAATCTTTCTCTGTATATTGACACCCCATTTGTTTCTAATGCATGTAAGCAAATGCATGTATGATTATTACAATGAACTGTTTTTGTCACATTTCGATTATAGTTTTAACCGATATTCTTCTAATTACCTGATGGTACCCAATGTACTGCTGACATGAAAAAAATCCATAAATCAAATTTTCTTCTTTTCTTTCAAATTGAATTTGTATATATATACAGTATCAGTTCGAACACCAAATAAATTTAAACTTTTGTGTATCAAGAGACATTGATTCACATAAATGATGTTTTCATCTGTTATAGAAACACGTTTCACTGAATTGTTCTGCACTTTGCAGATATTAATGATGATATTTGTCTATAATTTTAAAAGATTATATTTTGTATTCCATTTTTTGCAAGAAGTGTATTTTTTTTTATATATTTTGTAATCGAGGTTCTATAAAATATTGAACATTTTAATTTTGTATTCCATGTTTTTGTGAATATTTGAATTATGTTTTTTAAATAAATTCAAAAAAAAACAAAATTTGGTTTTATTGTTATATTTCTATTTTTTATCTGGTCAAAGCTTTTAGAAACTTAACTCAATCACCCCTGAAGACACATTTGAACTCTACCAATTCAAAGGTTGGAATAGTTCATTATGAAATTTCAGGGGTGAATGAGTTAAGGAAATATTTCTAAACGTTGGGAGAGACAAGTAAACTGAAGAAACTATAGTAATACGGTAATTGTATTGCCCAGCCATACTTTGTGCTAAACATACTGAATATTAACTCCTAGCACCTTGATCTTGACTTTTGAGCGGGTTAAATCCGAGTATTATTTGTGACTTAGGGGTCCATCAGGCGGGTTGGGCGACGTATTAGATAGCGTGCTTGCCTTTCACCGTGATGGTCTCGTTTGATTACAGGTACCTGATCGGGCGCGAGAAGGTATGGATCAGCTACTAAAACACGTCAGGCAGTCGCCAGTTACTGTCCGTAGGTCGGTGGTTTTTCCCGGGGAACTCTGGCTTTCTGCCACCATCAAAATCGGGCACGTAGCGGTTAATAGGACGTAAAACACAAACAAACAAAAAATTTCAACCATGAGTGTTTTCCCTGGTTACTCCTGTTTTCTCCCATATCAATAAACCCTGCTCACTACAAACTGAGCCAAAAAGAGTGATTGATATACGTTGATGAATCTTGTTTCGTACTTATTGAGAAATAAATAATTATAAGTTTACATTTATATATTTGAGACCCGGTCCTAGACTTTCACGCTTACTGTATTCAGTGTAGAATGGCGCCAATCATTCTTGGACATAAAATGTGAAGAAAAAAACCATTTTCAATATTAAACAGTTACTGCTCGTTATCTTTGAATATTTACATTTCCTTTGTACAGTCATTATAGATAACCTACCAAATCAAAATGTTATAATCCAATACATTGTAAGAACATGAACTATTATATGTGAATTCATGTATTTTCTGTCAAACTGTTTTAGTAATCGTTGAACCATTCATGATGCGACATCAAATTCACAATATTATAATAGACATTTGCTGCCAGACGGAACTGGTAACCATAGTAAGTGCAATCTAAAAAGATGTACGGTCCGTAAACGAAAACTGTTTGCTTAAAATGTATTTTAAATAAAAAGGACTACAAAGAACAATGAAATAATATTTTCCTTCTGGTTTTGAATGTAAATATAAGCATTGAAAGTATATTTTTATGACATTTATTAAGATCTGAAATACAGTTCTATTCAAACATATTCCCCAACATACCTTACCATGCATCATGGAATATGTGTGAAAAGGACTGTTTTATACCGTAACAAATGTTAAAAAGATGTATTTCGCTCCTTAAATAATTTCATTATTACATCAATACGTATATTTGAAAGGGAATATTTTGTAGCGTATGAAAAGTCCTGGCAGTGAAGTAAATTTAACAGTACCAGTGTATCTCAATGTCATTTTGTTTGAAATTTAGCTTATATATGTTCTCAAGTTATATTTCCATTAGCACTAAAAATGTTTTAACTAGTTCTTGTACTTTCTCAGTGAAGTAACAATTTCATCTCTAGTCCAGGCTTGAAATTGCAAATAAATAGAAACATTTTATGACTGCAACTTGACTACCAATTACATTTCACTTACATTGAAGAAAAAAAATCGATATCTTATTTAAGTCAATTTTCTGTCATATTTGTCAATTATAAATGGTGCTTAGTGGGAAACCAAAAGCATCCTCTTAATACCGGTTCTCGTTTATTACGTCAAAAATTGATTTTTTTCGAAAATAAGCATTCCTGGAACGTTGTCATAAAATCAAAAAGATTTACAAAACAAAGAACAGAAGACATATTCAGTATTTACATGTTTAATTTACTCTCAGTTTGATGAGATTCATTACAATTCAGCACAACTTTCTTTCTTTCTTTCTCGCTCTCTCCTTCTACACAACCTACCACTCAACACTGACCCAGCCTATGTACAATATTTTGCAGCAGAACAGCTTTAAAGAACTACATTCTATCTGTTATAAGCTAATGACGAGGATTAATCCCACCCTATGACCAGAAATAAAAGCCCATGCTTGGTAATAAGCCCATACATTAACTTGCTTAACAGATTTAAACCGATTCAGGTCCTATCTAAAAAAAAAAACATCTTTTCCAGGTACATCCAAGGGAACTAACTCTATAGCTATGTCCAATTTTCCATCTAGCAACAAATTAGGAATAAACCCAATGTCCATTTTACCCCAATCTTAGAAACAGACACGAGTATATCAAGTATATATTGATACAAAAGATGTTTTGCACACACCTGTGAAAAATACCCTGACAGTATATCAATTTCCCTACCATCAACTTGGGCATAACCCAAATACAAAGCTACATTGGTTAGGTAAACAACACTGAAATTTGGTTGACAATAACACTAAAGATGCACTTGTATTTTTACACAAAATGCACCATTACAGTCGATAATACCAACATTTTGTTAATTTTGACACGTTAGGATGTACAACAGCAAAATGTATCTGAAAAACCCATGTCAGAATGGACTATTTTTCCTGAAGTAAGACTTGATGTGATGTATACAACAGTTTGTTCTGCCACCAATTTCCATGCCATGGTCATTCTTCTTTTGGATGAATTGACAATTTTGTCATTTGGTCCGCTGGTGTCCGACATTGACGCTGGTATTGTTGTAGTTATATTTTCCACTGAACACAGTTGTGGGGTCTACAATGTTTATTTGCACAAAAAAGTTCAGGTCATAAAATATTCTGTTTCTACCATGACGGCGCTGTGTTGGCTAATCTTCTCATACGTCTGGAAAAAAGAGAAGAAAATTTGTAAGTGTTTTGAAGACAAGTCTTATTTTATTTGTTCATTAAATACATTTTGGTCAAATACACTGGAGGGGAACTAAGATGGCTTGAATAGTGACTCTTCATTGAATTTCACACGATATAGTTCTGCAGACAAAAAACGTGTAGATTTTCATCAGGTATATTCAGACTAATGGATCCTAAGTTGCTTAATTCAAATATACATTCTATAATATTGATGTAGATACACCCATGAAAGTTGTTCAACAAGTTTAACTCCTGTCAAGAAACATATTCTGGTTCCAAATATGTTCTATACAAATGTCAGATACCAGAGCAAAGCATTTGCTATTTGAAAGAGTGTTTATGTATTTATGCCTGTATATACTTGCACTGATTGCCAGCACAAAAGTCTCACTCTTACAGTAAGAGAGAAGGCAGGAGGAAGGAAGAATGGAATTATGAAGGAAAAAAAGGAAGGAAGAATGGAGGGAAAACTTGAGAAATCAATCAACTTGAAGATCTTACCTCGTGTTTCTATCCTGATCCCGGATCTTCTTCTCCATCTCGGCGTCGGTCAGCGTCTCAAGGAATGGACACCACTGGTCAGCCTCGTTCTGGTTCCTGATGGCAACCTCCACCGTGGGCAGCGGGGCTTCACTACTGTAACACAAAGTACGCTTATTTATTTTAGCACACAGACTCCATTGGGCCCCACCCTACAGCCCTTGGGGGTAGGGATGGCTCAAAATTTACAAAGTATCAAACTGTCAACTTAGGGTTATAATTCCAATCAAGTTATCAACATGTAATATTCAAAGTATCATTTGCCATTATAAACCATAACAAATTTTGCCCCCCCCCCTTCCTTCCCCAGGGGGAAACGCGAGACCCCAGGGTCATGAAATTCACAATTTTGGTAAAGCACCTTAAGACCCTTCCATCTATGAAGAGTGTTTGATTCTACCATATCTAGATCTTGAGAAGAAGATTTTTGAAATTTTAGTCAATTTGACCCTTTTTGGCCCCGCCCCTCAGGCCCCTGGGGGCTGAGGACCATATAATTCACAATTTTAGTTGACCTTTGGCCATTGAAGGTTTCTGCAAAATTTCATTTAAATTGGTTCAGGGGTTTTGGAGAAGAAGTCGAAAATGTAAATTGTTTACGGACGCACGACGGACGACGCAGGACAAAAGGTGATCGCAATAGGTCACTTGAGACTTTGTCTCAGGTGACCTAAAAATGTCACGATATTTGATTCCTTCGTTCTAGAGATGGAGCGACCCCTAGATATGTCATGTTTGGTTTACAGGTGACACAACAAGTATGACTTGGTCTTGATAACAAGGTAGAGGGAAGCTCTTAAAAAGGCAAATATTACTTCTGTTTTCATAATCTATTTACAGATTAATGGAGAAACTATCCCGAATTTAGCTGCACTTGTTCAACATTAATACTTGAAGGCTTTTGAAACCGACAGATGTACATTCTTTGATGCCAGCTATCACTTAGTATACATTATCTAAAAGCATACGTCCTTTGATGCCAGTTATCAATAAGTATATGTTATCTAAAGGCGTACGTCCTTTGATCGATGCCAGATATCAATAAGTATATGTTACCTAAAGGCGTACGTCCTTTGATGCCAGCTTAGCTGTCCTCTGATGCTGTAGGCAATGGACGTCACAAACTCTCCTCCCAGTCCTGGGTATAAAAAACAGTTTATTAACAAATTTATAAAAGATCAAAGCTACAGAGCTTTCAAATAAGACATCACTGATAAATCAGGCACCACTGTAAATCAATGGTCAGTTAACAGGATGAGGGGTGTAGCCTGTGTGTTGTAAAAACATGACATACCTAGATTTGCACACAATTTAATTACGAACTCTTCGGGGAAAAACTGACATCATCAGCGACCACTTTAAATCTAGGGTCAGGAAAAGGGATGTGGAGTGAAGCCTGTGTGTTGTAAAAACATGACATACCTAGATTTGCACACAATTTAATTACGAACTCTTC